CAGCATGGCCCGCGCCGCCGCCACCGCTCCCGCCGCCGCCGCCCGGCTCGGCCCCGGCTGGGTGCGGAACTAGGGAGGCGCGGCGCCCGGCGCCTCTCCGCCCATGATCGCCAGCATGAACGTAGCGCTTCAGGAGCTCGGGAGCACCGTGAGTGGCGGCGGCGCTGTCGGGGAAAGGAGGCGCGGGGCCTCGCGGCGGGCGGGCGGGCGCGCGGGCGGGCTGCGGGGAGCGCCGCTGCCGGGCGGGGCAGGGGGCAGTCCCGCGCGGAGTCGCCCCCGGCCCCCCGGCGCTTCGATGCAGGGCGCCGCTGAGCGGGACGCGGGAGGGGGGCTCGGAGGAGGAAACCGCCCTCAACTTTCTTTTCCCTCGCGTCCTGCCCCCCGCCCCATCGCTAGGACAAAAAGCCTCCATCATGATGCCTCGTACATCGGTACGCAGCCTCGCTTCAGGAGGGGTGGGCTGTTTGTTTGTCAGCTGGAAGAGCTTTTCCCCAACCTGGTGCCCTCCAGATGTTCTGGACGTCAACAGCCATCAGCGCTGGCTCAGTGGCCCATGGTCCGGAATGCTGAGAAGCTCACGACATCTGGAGGGCCCCAGGTTGGGGAAGGCTGCTTAAGGAGTGCCATTTTTTAGACAGTCTGAAGCTGCCCATCGTTACTCTATGCAATCTGCCATCTTCAGTAGAAAGCAAGTCCTCAAGGAGTTCAGACGGATTTACTCCCAAGTAATTGTGTGCATAGGATTGGAGCCCTCCCACGTTGGCACCTCAGCTGCTGCTCTGGCTTCCATACGTCAGATTGGACCCCACTTGGCTGGCCAGTGGAATGGGGTTCGCTTCCAGGTGGCATCCCCATCGCTTGCCAACGTGGTGCACAGCTCAGGCACTGAGTTCCTGCCTCGCCAACTCAGCACATCAGTCGTAGTTGCATCTAGAACTCGCTGCCTCCTCCCAAGCCTAAATTGCCCATCGGGCTGATTGTGAGGAGCCCCAGCCAAGGACTCGTTGTGCTCCCTCGCTTGCCAGGACTCCTGTGATTTCACAAAGGCACCAAGGCCTCACCTCCCTGGGGCGTCTTGCCGGTTCAACACACAAAATCTGATGCATTACAGAAACGGGAGGGCAGGGAGCGGCAGGTGGGGGACCAGGAACGTGTTTCAGCAGCCCATGGGATGCTGCGGTTGCTTCAAGGTTGCTTTGCGGGACAATCTGTAGCCTCCTGCTGCATAGGAGTGAAAAAGGGGTGGGGTTGCCTGGCTCGCTCGCCCATAGAATCTAATCTAGAACATTGGAGGATGGGGAGGAGAGCGTGGCTTTTCAGAAAAAAATCAAAGCTGCTCAAGGGACTGGCCTGGATGTGAACTTTCTCTGGGCCCAGCCAACCTCAGAGTCCATGGAAGGCTGTTCCTCTCAGTTAACCTGCTATGGTGGATCCGATCTCAACCCTGAATGTGGGGAATCAGCACAGGAGAGGCAGGAGGAGGAAAGCAGGACCCTCCTCTCCAAACTGCGGTGTGTCCCTGGCCATCACTCGGGTCTTATTCAATAGCCCGCAGAGGGACAGTCTCAGGGTGGTGGGAAGCCTCTTCTTGCAAATGCTGAAGCGACGTGTTGAGGTTGGCCGTTGTGACCTGCCTAGATGAAGGGAGACCTCAATCCAATTTCGGGTCTCCACTGATCCTGTGGCAGGCTGCTCCCCAGCAGGAGTCACTCTCAAGCTCCAAACACTCCCTACAAATCCCAGTGGAGAAGCAGGGTGTTCCTCTTCTTCCTTAAGCACTACCCGGATGTGGAGACACTCCCGATTCCCTCTTTCCTTGTCCCTGAAATCAAGCCTGTCCCTACCAGAAGTTGCTCAGGAAACACCGGGAACAAGCCCCTTGGATCTCGAAGAGGCAGGATGCAGGGCAAGCCTTCTGCAAGTGGCCGCAGCAAGGCGGGAGACACCACGTGCGTTTGTTTAGTTGCCACGCGCATTATTCTCATGCTGACCCTGCATCTTTATCCCACCTTTTCTCCAAGGAGGCCCGGGCAATGCACACAGCTTCCTCTGCCCCATTGCAGACTTGTGGGGCAGGTTCAGCAGAAAGCCAGTGCCGGGCACAAAGTCTTCCAGGGATCACCATGGCTGAATGGGGACTAGAACCCAGGTCTCCCCAGCCCAGCATTCTAACATCGAACTGCATTGTACGGGAAAACTGCCGAGCATATTAAAAAGCATAGGGACTTCCCACTGACATCCCTCCCACACCTTCTGTGCCCGCAGGAGCTCATGCAGGTGTTGCCCTGTCAGTGACTGGAAGCATGTGGAAGGGCTCACAAAGACTTCCATCCTTACGAAGGATGAACATGAGCTGGACATGTTCTTAGAGGTTCCTTTGTGGATTTCCTGGCCTCCTTTTGGCACACCACTGCTGTGCATCCACCCAGAAGGACAGAGCTCCCTTTTCTCTAGCTTTTCTGTGGAGAGTTCAGATGTAGTGTGCTTTTGCAGAGTAGGAGCAAGTATGTCTCATACCCCTGATTTTATATTGGAGCAGACCTTTGGGAGACCCTCCCTCTGTGGCCAGAATTTCCATTTCCTCCAGTGTGAAATAATTATTTGGAGTAGATGACCCAATGTAGAAGAAGCTTTGATGTGTGAGACAGAAGGATTTGATGACACAGACACTCTTTCAGCCCGATTTGAATGGGTGAAATGCAAATGAGGCCAAGGTCAAAATGCAAGCATATTTTTGTGTAAACTCTTGCTGACTGTAACTAAGGTAAGTCCATAGTTAAGAAAGAAGAGGGGCCATGGGAAGGGGAGTGGCCATCTGTAGACTTGAGCGTCCGCATTCCTGCTGTACAGCATTAGCTTTCCAACCTCCTACCTTCAGGGAATTCTTTTCCCATTTATGTTGTGTCAGGAAACCTGTGTTCACAGTAGAAAATGTTGAAACCGGGGAGGGGGGGGGACTGGTGTACAGTCTCTTTTGTGGTTTCTAAAGACCAAACTTACCATGGTGAATACCATGACTGGGTCTAGAAAACACAGCTGACCCACAATAATAAAAGTCACCATGGCTTGTCATGTTGTCTGAACCCAGGATCATGTTCAGTCCTGGTTTGAAAGTATCACAGAGTTTCCTGGTAAGAAACAGCCATTCAGCCTCTCTGGGTGGGCCAATAAGGAAGAGGCAAGCAACATAGGCAGAGAGCAATGCACCTTGGGACTGAATTTCAGGCACAGTGGCTGATGAGATACATGCCAACAGTGGGAGGACTGAGCAGGGAGGATGCAAACCATGATGACCATGTGATTTGGGGTCAACTGTTGTCCTGTTCTGCACGTGAACTCCCCTTTGGTGTAGCAAGCTACAGTTTCCTACAACTATGTGTTGCAAGGGAAGATTGACAGGTAAGGAGTCTGCTCAGTTTCAGAGAAGCTTATCTTCTCATGGAGAAACTCCAGATAGGGCTTGAAGGAATTCCGTGGTTTCCCTGAAGGGATGGCTTGAAAAGCCACGACCATAAATTAGTACTCTGTTGGAGAATACAATGTGCAGAATAGAAGAGCTGAAATGAAGATGTAACCTTCACAGGAAAAGTTTATTTTTCATTCATCCTTTTTCAGGAAAGGGAAACAAAGAGCCAAGGAATTGCAAACTACAGGAAAACTTTTTAGCTTCACGTAAAATGGGTAGGAGTGGATAATTTTATTTCTCTAGGAAATGGGCATGCCTGAAGCTGGCAGAGTGGGTGGGTATCCCCGTTTCCAACTGCCAATATGGTAGAACATATGCGCAGATCAACGGTTCCCAGGAACTTTCCTCTGTGACTCTGTTTTCTTTTTCCTGCCAAATGTTTGTTCATCACAAAATGGAGCGTGTCTCCTGATTCAGCAAGAAGTTTGTTTATTTTCAAAACCTGCTCACAGGACTAGGTGAAGGCGACATGTTCTTAAGCCTTGGCTACTTGCCATCTAGATGCTGCGGAAGCACAAACAAAAATGTCATCTCTTCCTCCTCTTGAAAAAAGAACACAAAGGTCATGATCGTGGGGAAGAAAGCAACTCATGCATTCTGTTTTCCAGCAATCTGACACGGTGGTAAATGTGAAAACTTGGAGACACTGGGGTACTTGTGCTCAACTGACTGCAGGGTTAACTCTGAAACCGAATGATGTTTCTCATTGTTCACACTGTGGACTGGGACCGCTTCTGCAGTGGCCGATCTTCAAACTTGCAGTGGTTCTCCTGTTGACCCCAAATAAGTCCTCCAGGATGCAAAATGGTTGTTGGTAGAAACCTGCTGCCATCTGAAACAGCAACATTGCTTCAATGTGGTGACCTGACAAAATTGATGGAACTTAGTATTAGATGAAACGGCAAAAGACCGCCTGTGCTGGCGGAAGAGCTGGATCTTCTGACTGTGTACATGACCTTTGGAAAGGATGTCTCTTCTGCAGCAAGGCATCCATAGGTCTTTGTGAGGGCTTGGCCCTGGCCAATAAGCCTCATTGCTTATGAATCAACGTTGTCTCCCACTTTTAATAAGCATAATGTAGCTACCAGTTCAGCCACAAGAAGGCTGCTACTGTGACAGGATATAATGGTTTGGCTTCGAATTCAGATGATAGGAGAAATAAAATCCCCCACTGTTGGTGCATACTTTTGACCTTGAGCTGATTTCTAAGTCCCACCTACAGAATCGTCTGTGGGAAGAGAGGACGGTTGATGTATCTCAGCCTGCAGCATCAGCCAAGGAGGGCGGAGCAAAGATGCTTCAATTTGATGTATTGATAATCTATAAAAAGCCATAGCACACGTGAGAGAGCTCTGCTGGTGCCATCACCTTTCCTGGTCTAAAATTCATCTCTCTCACCTACACTGGTTTTCTTTTCGGCTGCACATGTCAGCTGCTTGGTTATTCATGCTTCTGGAGAATTTTGTAACTGGGAAACTCTACCTTACCGACTAATCATTATCAGCTAATGCTGCACGTGGAGTTTGGAGGTTTTTATGGCTTGCTGCAAGGAAGTAACCACTTTGCCGTTTACTGCCTGGGATACCTTCTGCCTGGACTTCTCAGCTGGCCTAATGACATGCCCTCTTCCTTAGATTTATGATCCTCCCTAGGGTTCCATACATTAAATCCTGGTATTGCCA